TGATTTGAATGAAGTCAATGGTAATATACAAAAAAATATTATTTTTGCGATAATATAAAAAATATTATTTTTTAGATAATCAGCGTACTGATGAGAATGAATCAATAGGTACATAATAATTATAATATAAAATAAACATAGTTTACTATGTGTGTTTAAAATTTTGTTAAAATTGAATTTATATTCTTCAGCATATTCTAATGTGTAGGTATTTATTATATAAATGTGTACTAACATTAGCGTGCACAAAAGTTTATTCTTAAAGGTCTTTCCTAAAATTGAAAATTTTCAAAACTAGACTAATAACTCATTCTGAAGAACTATTAAAGACCTTAATGTTAATAAGTACCAGACATGCCTCATTCCTAATACTAATTAAGTATATCATAAAAAAAATATCTGAAGTTCAAACTTGTTTGGTAGAATATTATAAATTTGGTAGGTACCGATGCTTTAAATTTTAATTTATACATTCAGTAGTGTTGTCTTAAGTAAACATAAACATAACACAAAATATATCATGTAGGTATAGGTACATAATATAAGTTTTACTTTTATTTTGTATGAATATGTATAAATATACCATGTATAATAATATAATATCTATAATACTACATGGCATAGTACAATGTTTTGCTTAAATTCAGCAGTTTTCAAGTTTGAATTTTTAAAGATTATAGTTTGTATTGGTAAGTTTATTATTTTTATTATTATTATAGATATTATACAGGAGGTGGACATAAAAATGTATTGCTGAGATATGAGTATTGCACATAGATAGTTGGAATATTGTTGTAATTTTATTTAATAATACATTAATTGATATATTTCTATATCAAAATTGCTGATGGGATTTATGATATTTTTGGGGTAATTCAATAATACCTAAATCACAGACCATATATTTATTTTTAAATTTTTTACTTTACAACTGTAGAACTTTAAGTAATATTTACTGTACAATTTTGTTTGAATGTTTATGTAACTTGGTACCTATTTAAGTTTCTTATAGCAATTTAAAAATTGTAATATTTTATAGGTAAATAATATACTTATTTTTAATTTGCAACACAATTGTTGTTATTTACCCTTTAAATTATATAGCATCCCGTGCCCTTCTTTACCAGTCCTCGCCTGAGTGCAGACTTTTATTTTCCGCTAGTATTATGAGTAGAGTTAATATGTTGATGACTTTTGACTTTTGTACAAACAATGTAAAATAGTAAATACCCATGTATTTAAGTAAAAATACCTACTCTTAAAATATTTCCTATTCTATTGAAATTCATTGCCATACACTACTTCTATTAATACACAATTTTGATGTAGTGGCATGACTGCTATAGCAAAAATATTATGTAACATTTGATATTATGACATTACACACATAGCAGTACTAATTATAATGGTATCAAATGAATGTAGACTTCAGACTGACACATTGTATTTTCTTAGATGATCGGGCACTTGTAAGGCACTGGCATATTTCATTAGGAAAATAAATTAATTTAATAAAAAAAAGTGTCTTCTCTTAGCGGGTTATGAGCATTTAAAAAAACGACAAGTGTCCATCAATGTGTTAATTTACTTATCATGTCTTAGTAAAAATACATATTTTCATATAAATCCCAACCTAACCCATAAGTTATAGGCATATATTATACAAGAATTTCTTGTAAAAAATACTGACAGTGCCTCATGATTTCCAATTCCAAGCAGATATTCTAAAGGTGAGTACGGTTGTGCATATTTTATTGGTAAATTTGGGTGTAAAGGGCATTTGAATGATTCGGTGTGGAGTTTCTATGAACAAATAATATATGAGTGCTCACTGCTATTGAGTACAGTCCAAATAATCGAACATTCAGATGTATCAATAACTACTTTGGTTCTCGCACCTTAAGATAAAATATAAAAATTATACTCACCTTCAATTCAGTTAGACATGACGGTAATTCATTACCTATTCTTTGAGCATTTGACAGCAGTAGTGCTACTACTTGCACTATACGGCACCAGCGGGTAGGTATCCACCATAAAATAAGGATTAATTAATTAAATAACAGATAAATAATATATTTAGTACAGGAAAACTAATGGCAATTAAATGCTTTAATGCTACAATATTAAAATGCATAAGCACTAAGTTCATTCCAAGCGTCAAGAACATTTGAATTTTTAGCAGTTGCAATCACAATTTTTATCACACTCCGGAAAAAAACGAGTGTAGGTCCAACACTGTAGGAGTGTAGGACACTAACGGCAGTCAAACAGCTGATCAATATTTGCTTACATTTTTCCGGTGGCTCACTGGCTCGGCGTGAAGTTGGCAGCGTATGCTCGACATACTGCTGGGACGTATTTTAAATGAAAATACGGTTACAACATCATGCCAAGCAACCGACAAAATGTAAGGTCATCCACAGAATAGATATAGATAATAATTATTAGCTATAACTGAAAGGTCATTAGGTCATTTTTTTCAGTGAACGATGAAATTTTGATAGCTGTCGGTTCTATTATGTCCTATGACGCAGGCACGGACCACAATAATTAAAGATATTATAATATATTATATATAAACATAGAGTAGTACTCAAATGTTATTTTATTAAATATTAATATTATTATAATATAAAAGTAAACTTAAATAATCGGAGTAGGTAAGTAGGTAGGAAAATTCGGTAGTAAATATTTTTTAATTTTATCTATTACCTAGGTATCGGACATCGGTAATTCTTAAAACAAATTTAGAATCGAAAAATTATGGCTATACTATGAATAAAAAAGATGACCCCTCTCCCTGAAGTGGTGTATTGACAAACGTAGGTAGCAAACTACTCGATATTTTCCACTTCGCACAAAATGTATGAATCATAAATCTATATTACCTAGCTGAATACCCGGGGAAAATTTGTGTTTAATTAACTTCTTTTGGGTAGAAGCTGTTTAAGCAAAATTAATTATTTTTTTAATTTTTAGCCATCCCGCCCAGCGTTGCCCTTGAGACTGGCTTGTGATCATGAGAACAGTATATTATTAGATAGGTACCTATAAGTAGAGAGGATATAGGCTCTCTTGGTATAGGCAATCTACCTTTGCGAGGTGGGTGGTAAAAATAAATTTAGCCTATATTAGTATAGCTTTGTAGTTGGAAAAAAATGTTTATACGGTGTACCCAAAATAGTATTGAAGTCATAGTTGGTTATGCGTTATGCCAGATTTTTAGGAGCAATGGATTTGTAAATATAAATTTTAAATTTAAATCTTGAACTTATTTCAACATTTGATTAACATTTCTCGACGAACAAAATATATAATGCCATTACTCCGCCGTATTCACGATAACCGTACTAAAATCCGACGAATAAAAAAAAACAAATACCTATTCTTATTTATAGATAAAGAGGTTATCGGTAAGAATAAGAAAAAAACAATGCAAAAAATTGGTCCACCGAAACCGTGGTTTCAACTCGAGACATTCTGTTCTAAAATATTTTCTTAAAGATCTAAATTTGGACTATTGGACTGTGCATTTATTACCTTTTTTAAACTCTTTAGGAGACAAATTTTGAAAAATCCTTTCTTAGTGGGTATCTACTATCTACATCGTAAAACGAAACTACTGACAAAAAATGTCAAACTCATAGCTTTATGTTAAATTGGTAATAATAAAAAATACCTATATTATTATTTATAATCTATTTTATTTTAATGATATTAATAATTACTTAACTACAAAAAATTCTATGTATACGAAAACCAACTTAAATTTACATTATATATACCCATTATAGTGATTATACCTTACCTTATTCGAATTCAAAGTTGAATTTGGTACCTACATGAATTGTATACCTAAATGATACATTTTTATTTTAAATTCGAGTGAATTTGTTTCAGAACTCATTAGTCATTAGTATATATTTTATTCTTAGAAACATAAGTTAATATGATGGTCTATGTTTTCAGAACTATAATTGTATCAGTTTAAGTTCAAATGAGTAGGTATTGAGTTCCACTATAATATAGTATAAAATAGATGTTAATTGGTAGAACGTACTTAGCAAATATGAATTGCAAATACAATTGTACAGGATTTATAACTGGTTAATTATTATGTGAGAATTAAAACATTACACTTTAAGTTTGAGTACATAATATAGGTAGATGATAGTATGATACACATTTTCTACAAGGAATAAGGTTCAAAGTGTAATTACAAAACACGGTTATTGAATTATAATTAAGTAATTTCTTTAATTTCATATACATATCCTGTTATTATAACTTAAAAATTACTACATAGTACATACTATTGACAAAAGATTTGATTCAAAAGATTTAATTAGATATTAAAAATGTATATAATTATAATATATATATTATGTGTGTGTGTGTAAAAATATGGATAGGTAGGTAGGTACCTACCTACCAATTAGTAATAACTCAGCAAAGTATATTATACATTGTAATCATAATTATATTATAAAATAGTTAATCTTAATGAAAATGGTATAAGCACAAATGCATAATATTATACTTAGTATAAACCATAAAAATGTGTAAGTTCGATTTTGTATAATAATGTTTTTGGAATATCAATTTTTCATTTGATAATAAATCTTGTTTTTCAAGAATTTATTAGTGTTTAATATTAACAATAAATATATATTATGATTTATGATTATTATTTGGGTGCCTTAATATGTCATACTGCATTTGTATTACAACAAAATAATTATAATGTAATTCACACGCTAATGCTCATTTAAAAAAAATATAATAATATTATGTATAGGTAGCTAGTTAGGTATATAATATAATGTTACAACCTCCCTACAAAATATTATATTTTATAAAATTAATAATTTATTTTATTCCAAAGTAATAGTAAATCTTATTAAAATTTTACTAAGAATATATAAGAAATGTATAAAAAAAAATAAATCAGATATTTTTCTAAATATTAATTTTGTGTATTTATTTTGATTAGGTATTTACCGCTGGTTTACTGTCAAATCTCTGCCGATCTTAACTTTTTGCCAACGTTTAAAAAAACAAAGTTTATTTTTCTGTTTCAAAATCGTCTGGACATAATCAGGCGATTTAAATACCAAAAGAATGGGACGATCCTTATCACGATCAATACCAAACCGTGTGATTTCTGGGAACTCATTATTAAATCCTATATCCCTCAGTAATTCACTTATTATAGAATTTAGCATTTCTGGTGTCTCACCCATCGAATCAGGAATATTGAAAATTAATAAATTCTTAGATCTTTGATAATGTTTGTGAGTCTTTGTAGCAATATTAAAGTTATCTTGGAGTTGGTTTTCCAACGAGTGATGAATATCAAAGATTGAATCTCTTATACCTGCAATTTCATCATTCATAGTATCATTCTCCGTTTTAACTTGAGCCAATTCAGCTTTGAATTGATGTACCATATTATTATATTTCTGATAAGTGACATTTAATGAAAAAACTTTTGATTGGAGGTCTTCAATGACCTTGCTCTGGACTCGCGAACCTTCATGGGTAGATTGCGAAAAGTTCGTGGTACTCGGTAAATTGTTGTACATATTATATTCAGACTCACGGTTAGCTTGAACGTAATGTTTGTTTCTCTCCAGATAAGATGTCCCGATCCTGAATTTGTTTTGATCCATATCGACTGTATAATTTGGATGTCATGTGATGTTACCTGCCTGTTATATTTTCCAAGTTATGTGAGAAAAAATTTGCATATGTTCAACCACGATATTGCCACTACAGAGAAATATTAATCTTATGCACCTTATACACGAAACACTAAAATAGTACCCAAGACACTCAAATAGTCGGTACGTACCTATTCACTCTACGAATCGAATAAATGTTTTAATTACAGTAATTACACAAAACTACTGTAATACCGAAGCGACACACTACGAGGCGAACACACGAGTGTTATGCTACTATCTATATTGTATTATATTTAATATAGGTTCCTAAGTCCTACTGTGAGAAAGATCGATTAGTACAAATCGTTTCCCGAGCCCGTCTATAAAATTTAGTGGGGAAATTCTATGTAATGTCTTTGTTGAAGAATGCCATTAGGTCTAAAATACATTGTGATTACAATAACCAAAAATGAGATAAATTTAAAAAAAATACGACATTAATATTAATTAGTTTTTAATGACATCGCAGAATATATATTAGGTATATTATTCTAGCGCTGTCACACCCATTTCAAGTTTCACTATTTAGTATATTTTTTTTACACTGTCAATATTATAAGGAAAATAAAAGTAAAAGTTCATGGATTTAAAAACGCATTAAATTGTATGTACATATTACGTATGTATTTTCACTATTTTCTATTGAGTATATAGTATACATACTAGGTACTATCTTAGTTTTAGTGTACCTAGGTTTACGGGCAAATTGGAATTAGTACAATATAAAATATTATATTTAGACAACAAATGTTTAACCTCCAAGATAGCTCGCTGAACAGTTTTGTACTTTTATATATTATAATCTACTTTTACCTAATCAGTTTTCAACAAATGTATGACAATAATGGACGCAAAATACAACAAGTGACATTCCATGTACCTACCTAAATTAATATTTCATTACAACTGCAGTTTTTAGTACATTTTTAATACATAGCTGGTACTAATAGGTACCTACATCTAATGCCAGTCGAATAAATACGAAGAATATTATACTATCATATAATATACATTTATAAAGAAAAAATAAAGCGGTTTATAATAATATTGTAAATGCATTAACATTTGATATACCTATAGGTACGATTAGCACTGTAATTAGGACTGTTATAAAATGTACTACCCGCGATTAAGTATTTTCATCCTTTATTTCAACCCCTTGAGCCTTCATTTGTGACAAAAGGTAGCATATGACTTTCTCAAAGTTTTTCTCATCTCTGAACCAAATTTCATTAGAATCAGTTCAATAGCTTAGACGCGAAATCGTAACAGACAGATAGAGGTACTTTCGCATTTTTAATATTAGAAGTACCTATAGATAAATAGGGATAGGCAATTAGGGAAGTAGGGTTTATCAAAAACCGAACTTCAGACTCTCATTCAAAAATATTGTTGATTTAAGCTCAACTTTTTTAATATCTACTAACAACAACTTATGAGGAACGTTGTATTACATTTTAACACCGCTAAGAATCTATAACAAAATTGAAAACTGGTTTTCTGTAAAAATTTAAGTTTTGCATTTTTTAGTGTTATTTTATCATTGAGAATAAAAATACTGTATATTTCCCAAAGAACCACCAATAATGGATCTAATTGTATGGTCCAATACAAGATGAAGATGACAGATAGCCAACTGACAACAGTATGTGTACCTATAGTATGACTGAATGTCCTAATTTTACTACAGACATTTTTTATTCAATTTGTAATTTAGAGTTTAGACTGACCATAAAATATGATCTGATTTTATTTTAATCGGGTATTTAGGAAAAAAATAAATAGGTTGTTTTTCAATATTGTAAAATTATATATTAATTATTATTAAGTAAAAAAATAATGACATCGATAATAATATTTATCGAGTTAAATGCTTAATATTATATAATGTATATAAAGAAAATGGAAAATATTTAGGTATATAATTATAATATCATATAATATGACGTCTATCTGTATCGAATAAAAAAAAAGATCGTTCAATCATATCTAATAATAAAAAGAGATTAAGCCTAAGTTTTACATCATGTTTAGAAACATAATTTTAAATTAAAATAATAATAAAAATAATTTTTTTTTATGATTGAATGCGACCAAAAAAAATATTATTATTTAATGTGTTTGATACCTATTATATTATGTCAAGATGGGTGAAGATGATATACCCAAGCACTTTCAGGTAGTGGTCGATGGGCGCCTGGCCGACGAAACAAGGACGACTATTAATCGTAGCAGTTGCTTCGTCCGCGTCGGTTCCCATCGTCCGACCATCCCAACCACAAATTAGACTTTCGTTAAAATTTTTGAATACGTGTAAACTATTATATATACATAGGCGTAGCCAGTATTCTCGTTTCTGTGATTATTATATTATTTATGTAAAAAATTATTAATTTGTAAGCCATTATAGCCATTATTGTAAGTATGATTCACACAACTTTTGTAAAGTTGAAAAATCAAATTGAATTTTAAAAAACCAACGGTATCATGTATCATGTATCTCAATGATGTAGGTGTAAACAATAGACCCTTTTAAGGGGAGGAGGTGACATTCGGTTTTACCAAGGTATACCTGACACTACGCCTATGATTATATATTTATATATAAATAATTATTGTAAATTTCTGTGTGGCTGGATGGTCAATGATGTGGCCGGATTTCCGGTCACTCCGTAATTGGCTGAGTCAGTGTGGAGTTGATGGCGCACTCGACCGCCTGAGCAGGATCGTACGCGGCTACTATATCGGCTATGCTGTTGGCTGTGCCGAAGACCAACGCCAAGACGCCGACAGCGATCAGTACCACGTTCCGGGCGGCCATCCAGACGGTTACTTCATCCCAGTATGTGGCAAACTCTATGATCAAGGGCACAACGATGCCGAGCAGTGAGAAACAGAAGGCACCGATGAGTCCAATGAACGGACCGATTGTCGGTACAGCTACCGCTATCAACACTGCAAAACCATAACCAAGCATACAGACATTATTATTATTAAAATATCAAATAAATCAACTGATAGTTCCAGTCAATGACTTATTTAGACCTAAATAATTTTGTTGATTTTTTTTTTTTTTTGGGGGGGGGGGGCAGAGATTTAAATTTGGAAATTAAATGTGAACGTTTTTAATTTTAGTAGGTATAGGTATCAAAAATGTATAATAAAATTATTTGATGTTAATAGGATATATAATTTATTCCAATATTATAATTTGTAAGTACCTAACAACACCGGGTTGGTTCTATTAAACGTAAGATTGCGTGGGTTATAGAGAGAAAACAAATGAAATAGTGTGCTGACACCCTCTTAATAAATTTATTATATTGCTATCTAAATATAATTATACATAATTTAATGTACGTTTAGATGGGGCTTATAAACTTGGAAACTACTCAAGCAATAGGGCATATGCATCAAATTGTTCACACTTATTTCTTGATACTCTGGATTATAGTTTCGTTTTTCAACCCCTAGATGGCTCACAAAAATAATTTTTTTTTTTTATTAGTTTATAGATAATATTAAGTTTGTGGTCTGAATACAATTTTTTGTATGATTGAATGATTTTTGTGAATAACGCTTTGTACACCACCAAAGAAACGAAAATAAATAAGATATATATATATATATATATATATTAAAAATCATCTATAATTCTTAATTCATTGAATTTCTATCAAAATGTAGCAACTTACAACATATCTTTCTACTGAACTATACCCAAAAATATATCTGTGATTCCTACATTTTCATTAGCGAGGAAATATAATATCTACAGTTCATATATGATATATTGATATATTATATGGTATTAGGTAACATAAATATCAGTAAACAAAAAAAAAAAATTATTATGCCATATTATGGGAATTATAGAAAGAAAGATATTTTTATTTAAGTAATAACATTTTGAGAAAATGAGCAATTTATAAATTTTTAAATAACTAAAATTTTAAAATACATTATTTTGTCTTTCGAAATAGAACGAGCAAAATATTGAATCAAAAAGCAGCCTGCATTCTGCAATTATTAAAATGTATTAAAATTATTAAAATACTATCGGTACTCACCAGATGCAATCACCAGCACCGTCCTCAAAACGTAGTTATGCAAAATTGTGGTTCTTTCAAAGGTTTCCTCGATTTTGTTCCACATGATTTCCAAGCATACGAAAAACTGTAGACCGTACGTACAGAACACTGCTAAACTAATGCATATTTTAGCCACCTGTGCGGCACTGTAAAGACACACAAAAACATAAAGTTACTACTCATTCCTCTCAAAGAATATGCCATATACACTGTACATGGTTTGGCAAGTTACTCAATTTATTGTAACTGGTCAAAAGTTACAAGTTACTCTAAAACTATGTAACTAGTTACAATAGTTACTAGATACTTTTATGTTGAGTAACTAGATACAAGTTACATTCAAAGTTGAAATTTACATTGGCAAATGTTATAATTTATAAAACCATTATTTTTTTAATTAAGACAAATGTACATTTAGTTTTTAATGGGTAAATCAGTTGGTAGGTGGCAGAAATGATAGGTTATTTTGGACTGCACGGAATCGCCAGTGATTACAATCCGCCTGTTTTCACAATAGGTACAAATTAACACAGACGCAATCAAACAATATGAATCCAAAAAATTACTAAAATACGACACGATGAAGCACAAAAATATGTACAACGTTATTAGGTATTTTTAATTGTTGCAGTATTTATTCATTTTTTATAAATTAAAGTAGGTATATGATTATAATAAGTTTAAAAAAATATTTTTAAAAAACACCAAATTTTTACATTCAATATATTGTATATTTTTCTGTATATTGCAAAAAACAATATCAGAAGCGTTGAGTAAACAATAAGTATGGTGTGACTGATAGTTGTGTTTAAGATACTCTAAGCAAAAAATAAAAGAATTCAATTTTACATTGGACAGCGTGCCTATACTAGTTTATCCTAAAAATCAGAACACTAGAAATATATTATAATACAAGCTGAATAACCAGGGAAAAAATTTTGATTAATTTACTCTTTTTGGGTATAATTCGCTGTGCATATGAGACCAAAATCATATATTTTAATTTTTAGCCATCCCACGTGGCGTTGCCCGTAATATTCTTTTATAGTCATTAGAACAGTTTATTATCAGGTAGGCACAGCGAGGTGGGTGATAAATTAAAACCTATATTACTATATTAGTATATCTGTGTAGTTGAAAAAAATGTTTATACAGTGTACCTAAAATAGTATTGAAGTCATAGTTGATCATACCAAATTTTTCGGAGTATTTAATATTTACATATTAATATATTTTATTTTAATTTATTTCATTTTATTTTTACGGACAAATCGGCTTAATTGTATCTAGCTTTGTGAAATAATTTGTATATATAACCTGCAAACAAATGCAACCATTAATAAACAAAAAAAAAGTTTAAATTTCCACCATGGATCTTAAAATTCCTGTTTGACCACCACTTTAAAATATGAATATCAGCAAATCCTTTCTTATTGCTCATCTAGATTCTAGACCATTAAAGGAACCACTATTTCATATAATATCAAGTAGGTACGTATATTTAGTATTTTAAAACCAATATTTTATATTTAAATTAGATATTGCTTGATAGATGGTGCCACAGTCGTATTCTTACAACCCTTTATTTTCTTCTTTAGGCGTTGCATTTTCAAAAATCCTTTCTTTGAGGAAGCCTACATCATAATCTTTACGTCAAATTTCAGCCCGATGCGTCCAATGGTTTGAGCTGTGCTTTGATAGATCAGTCAATCAGCTTACTGTTTTATACATATAGATAATACGCGACTATTTTCAACGAAGTTGGGTTACAAGAAAAACAAATTACAAGATAATATGCGGTTATAGAACTAGCTGCATGATATATACTCACAGGTCTTCAGTAGGAAGGTTTAAAGTTATACTCGATTTCGTTGCTTCACCGTACTTCAAGTAACCAAAGAAACCGAGCAAAATGTACACAATGGTCACGCAGCCCATGCCGATGTTCAGCACGCCAAAAACTCCCAAAAAGCTTCTGGGCGTTTTCATGTTGTTTTCCAACGGCATCACCTTCAATAAATAAAAATAAGACATGAAGACGAACAGAATAAATACAGTTTACGATAATATTAGCGAGATAATTTTTTCATGTTGATTTTGTGTTATTTAAAAAAATAAAATAAAAACTATTAAGTAAGACTATATAATTTAAATTTTTAATTCTATCTTAGTTTAATTTACTGGGAATGAAGCATCTGGTAGGATCATTGTCAATCAACAGATCTTGTCTAAACTATAATCTTAATTTATAACATAATATAATAAATATGATGTCATGATGATCGGTGCAGTACTCAGGTACTTACATCAATTACTAAAATTCAAGTATGGGTGGTTATTTAAAAAAAGTAAAAAAATAAAGAGTTATTGAAATGAAATATCAAAAAATGCTTCAAATCATGTCAAAAAAAATATTTTCAAAAACGATTTTATCCATTAGAAATAGTATGCATCAAAGCTTATAGGAGGAAGAAGAGTTATACTACCTACTAACTGTTTTTTGTTTAACATAAATGTAATTGAATCATCGTGAGCACTTGGCTATTAAATATTTTAAGATTTTAAAACAAAAATGAATACACAATGGTTAGTTGTTATGACTCTTAAAAGATAAAACGACTTACGACTTCTAATATAATTTTGAACAGCCTAAAACATAATATTGCACCTTTTTAGTACATAAACACGGAGTAAATTACAACTGTTAAAATTAGTCATAGTTAGTATTTTTGTAAATTACACAATAACAAGGTCTGGGATTTTAATGCCCTAAGAAACTCAATAAATTACCTAAATAAAATGCTTTTATGCATAATGCCATAAACATTCTGAACAATGCACTACATTTTTTTTTATTAATTTCGTTATAGGTAAATACTAATATAATTAATTTTGTATACCTAAATGATAATATTACACATTTTAAAGGATAGTAAAAAAGTTTTACAGACAGAACTGATCGTTTTGGACTTCTTTAATAGGGAATAACAATTATTTCCATAAGTTATTATTATTATTTTTTTTTTAAATAGGTTTTGATCATATTTGAAACATTTAGGTACCTGTACATAGTTATATTTTGTTCAATGTATATAAAAAGGCATCTAAAAACATGTAAGAATCTAAAAATAAAATTTTTTATTCAAATTTTGATTAATATTGTTCAAAAACTTAAAAAATGACTCAAAATCCAAAAATTCTCTAAAAATGAAAAAAATTACTTCAAAATTTAAAATTGTCAAAAAAAAGCAATTCAAAAATACACGGAACAAGCAAGTTTTAAAACGAGCATCGAGTGGCCAGATTAAAAAAAAACGATTTGAAGTACATCGAAATCTTATACAAATTATTATTAATAATTATACATTTTTACTAACTTAATAGGACAGTTTAACTAAATCAACAATGTTGTCAGTGCTTTGGGAAATAAAATCGAATCCTAAAGATATACTAGAACTAGGCATTTAAGCAAAAAAAAAGAATGATGGACTTAATAATATTATGAATAATTAATTTCATTTTATTTTTTTGTTTACTTTATTGTCGTTGAAAACCATTATTTAACCATTAACCTCATTTCATTTATATAATTAATTTGCATTATATTACATGATCTATGCAATTTAACGAACAAGGGGTGAAGTGAGGAGCACATAGCGCCTCACTATTGCGATTATAAAAACGTATATCCCACCCCAGAACCAATTCTAATTGCATCACTGCTGAAACGTACCACTCCAATGGCTTCCATGGCAAACACAGTGAGGCAGAAGAACGTTGGGAACGTTTCAAGTGTCCCCACGGCTGGCCTTTCTGAAATGTTGGGTACTTCACACAGCGTATAGTAAAATGTGATGCCCAGACCGGTGGCCATCAATAGGTTGGCCACCATAGACACGGGCGCCAAGTACTTGAGATTCGGAACGTAGCTGAGCAGTATAAGCGGTATGAGCAGAATCAAAATAAACAACCGGAGGTCCAGCTTGTAACCCATGTGGTGTGCAAACAGCTGTTCAAAGTTAGAGGCAATGATCACTGTGTACACGCTGCATGTTCCAAAGTATGTGACGAAAAGCAGCCAAAGCACCGACTGGCGGGTTATCAACGAGAACTTTCGAGACCATTGGGGTCCGTTGGCGAACGCCACTTCAGCCACGTCTGCGTAGCTCATGGATGATACTTTTGTTCGCCTGTAAAGCGTGTGAGCACATTTCACCTGTAAAACAACAAGAGTATAAGTAACTATGTATAATCAATTATAATACGTGTTAAGACACTGAAATAATCTAGTAACATTATTTTAGATCTGACTTAAAATATTAAACTCTATATTATTATAATATATATAGTGTTTGAAAATTTCATGAAATTAAAAAAAATGAAATATTTCAAAATATGTGAAATATTTCAGTATTTTAATATATTTTGTTTTATTTTTAAATAATTTTTATACTTACATATAACTCTCATAAATTACCTTCATCACTATATGGTACCTGTATGTATACCTAACCTTTGGTATTATACATTTAAATTGGTATTCAAAATGTTTAAATATTTTAATGTTTAAATGATACAAGTAGGTATACAATATTATACATGTATATTGTATAATTACTGAATTCTGACATTAGAATTTAGAACACTGAATATTGTGTTAAAAAAATAAATAAATTGTGTTTTTATTTGTGTTAAAAAAATTTCAATGTTTCACGTTTTTGTGAAATATTTCACAACTTAGTAAAATATTTCAAAATGAAATATTTCATGAAATAGGTATTGTCATCAATATAATAATATAAAAATATCTATTAATTTAATGAATTGTATCTTTATTTTTTTTTTATATGAACAAAATATTATATATTTTTTAGCATTTTCAAAACAAATCATATTTTATAAAATGTATTTAAAACCAATTAATTTGAAATAACTTATTTTTTGAAAAAATGTCTTCAGCAACACTTTTTCGAAATTAATAACATTTTAATAGACTTAAGTTATGTAGGTAGAACAGGTAGCCAGGTAGGTATTACATAATTTAACAAATATTTAATGTTGTTAACAATATTACTGAATAGTATAACTTAAAAAAAAAAGATCAAATTAATCTATCTAACATATTGCATAATAGTACCTATTAACTACATAATATGTATATATATATATATTACTTTTAACAAGTTGTAAGTACGTGCGTGAATGAAAATATAAGCAAATCATTGTTATATTATATGTACATATAGGTATCTATAGAATTTAATGAGCATGTAATGAAAAACTATAATGCGTATTTGGACCGTTATAAAAATATTATAGGACGATAACAACTACTAACAAGTTAATAATGAAATTAATAATTAGTACATCCTCCCTATACATAAGATTACTATAGAGTTCCCAAAATTGTATTAAAATATTGTTTGGTTATTTTTCTTCTATGAAATGCATTATTTTGAATTGATGATAAAAATAATAATCTGACTTTAAATAATATAAAACAAAACCAATAAGACTTGGTTTGATGATATACTTTGTACATTATAACGAAGATAATAACTAATAGATATGGTATGTACTATGTTTGATTGACCTGTGGAGTGCCTCATTACCTAACTAGGTATAGATTCTATAGTTTATTATAAACCTAACTAAAGAAATATATTTTCATATAGTATTTAAGATATTCAACAACTAACCAGTAAATACGAGCAATACGTGCACACAAACGACACAAACAGTGTTGCGAATATGCCAGTTATAAGTCCCGAACACTGGAATGCTAGCGGCATGGCCAGAATTCCAGTTCCCAGAGATGCTTTGAGTAAGTGAGTCAGGGTCTCACCATTCCTGTAAAAATTGAAATAATTAGATTGTAGTAAATTATTACTAATAATGTTTAATTTTGCATGGAGATTCTTGGTACAACCCTACGATTATTGAATTTATAGTGATGTGAGTCTCGTAAATTTACCATGTAAAATTTTACCGGTAAAGTAAATTTACAAAAAAAAATTTACAATTTACATTTTTTTTACCACTCAAACAGTTGAGTGACCACTTTATTTGTATGCCTTTGTATTTTTTATCAAGATATTAGGATTATAATACAAATTACTAATTAGGATTTTTATAAAATGATAACGACAGATACGTGATAGGTACGAATTATTGTGATATGGAGTACGCGGTTACTGGTACTGTTTTTCTTCAAGATCAGATTTTGAAGAAGTTATTAATACATAGGTGATAGGTAGTTAACTTACACATGCTGTTTTAATTATATTATAAGTTGTTTTTTTATTTTTTTTATTTTTTTTTGAAACAGATTAAAATTATTTTTATTTTATATTTTACTATGATAAATTAATAATTATTAATTGTTATTATTAATAAAGGGATTAAATACTAATAATTTATTTTATATTTATCTTGCCTTCTTTACATTATATTGTGAAAAAATTCAACAGGTACGCTATAATTTGAATTTTAATATTAATTTACACGGTAAATTACCAAAAAATTTTTTTACGTAAAATCCACATCACTATGAATTTATATGTTAGGTACAAATATTAATTAAATCAATAGTACCTACCTACCAATAAATAATACCAATGCTGATATAATTTAGGTATTTTACTATTGTATTATTGATTTTTACGATTAGTATTATATTCACTGTAATATTGTTCCTATATAATTTTCAGAAGCAAAGAATAGAAAAAATAATTTTGTTTAGATTTATTATTATTATACTATTTACTTTTTTGAATTGCATTAGAAAGTTTAATGATTAATTGGTTAAAATAAAAAGTAAAAACTATTTATTTATAGTTTGTTTTTTAATTTTCTATTATTTCTGAAATAATTTTCTTCATTTCTTGTGGTGGTTTTTAAATATACTAAACAGTAAACATACAGTATTTAAATTAGTTTTTTTTTTTAAATATTGAAAATGGTGCCGTTTTAAATTAAATAAAAAGGTTATAATATAATATTATATTAGATTATATTTTGGTATACAACAGATTTGATTCAAATCATTAGTATAAATACTAATAAAAATATATTATTAATTTTATGTTATTAATGTCGTTGAGGCAGAACTACAAAATTGACTCAAAATGATATTTTTCTCCTGACCTCGCAATTGCTATAAGAACAAATCTGTTATAATCTATAGATAGATACTACACTCACGTGGTTGGGTGTTCCAAGTTTCTGTCGAGAAATGGATCGAAGTAGTCGATGCCATTCAGATGTGCGACTTCGCTCTTTTCTTGAAATTTGAATGGTCTTAGTCTGAAATAAATAATATACCAAGTTAAAATAAACATATAATATTATGACATACTTATGTATAAAAAACAATATGTTTAATGTTACAACCATCGATGAAGAGCTTGAAAAGATACAACAGATTTAAGGCTACTTACACCTTATCTCCAATTCTTGATAGAAATCGAACGATACATGACGTATCAAATATTACTACCTACTGTTTATATATCAAATGCAAATTAAGATTACTTTCTTAATATAATAACAGTGGTATTCAATTATGAATCGGAATACAAAAATTATATTTTAAGCTAAAGCTATAGAAAACCATGACATTTTTCATAGAATATTTACCTATAGGTATACTTATATCTATATAGTATAGGTCCTTTACTATCCTTAAGTATATTAATTTAACAGTTCATATTTTTTTTTAACATTCAAAATCTAATATACATACTTATTTAATAACGTCATTATAGCTGCATATAAATGCATATATGATATGTATTGTTTTAATTTTTGTCGAAAACATTGCATTTATTATATAGGTATATTGTTAATATTTAATTATTATAATAGTACATATTATTAGGTACTATATAAATTCTTCGAAATTCTATCTACAAACAATCATAAATAATTATTGTGGATCAATTCAATTTTTTAATTTAAGTATATACAATACCCACCTATTAGTAAATAGTAATATAACTTTGCTGGGTAACCTATGTTAATTCTTAAGCTTTTTGACAGAGTAAACATTTTTTATTGACATTTGATGAAAAAAATCAAGTTAAGAAAACTCATTCTTCGAGCTTGTTAAATTCTCGGTTTCTAAACATATTTTAATACAACGCAATAAATTATAATTTCATACAAAATTTATGCACAGTAACTAGTAACTACAAACAATAAACGAATACCATAATATCAACAATCATAGTTATGTAGTATGTACCATGTACCATGTACATTGTACTTGTACCTACTAGTAAATAACAGACAGACAGACCGACACAATACGGGGATATTAGGTGTTCTAAAAATATATTATTAGAGACCTAAAACTAAAAATCAGTCGATGGTCTAAGGCAGTGATTCCCAACCAAGGTGCAGTTTTCAACGTCATATTTATGTGAACAAATTTTCCACACTTGAAAATATAAAAAAAAATACGAATACAATTTTAAGCCATGTATTTCCATGAAGTAGCCTAGATAATAATCTTACCTTTAGATTTTATAAGAGGTAAATTCACTTTAATTTTTAAGCTAACGGAGCTACACGTGTTCTGCTGAGTGTAAAATTTGCGATGTTACGCACTTGTAAGACGGAGACAACACATGCGAGTATCACGTCCCTTAATATTTAGTTATTATTATTTATAATAGTTATATAGTATATATTTTATTTATATCATATATTATTGTGGTTAACTTTTAAGACGATACAGACATACCGTAGAACGGTTTGAATAGATCATAATATGTTATGAATAGGCAGTTGCATTATTAATCTAAATATTTTTAAAACGTCATTATGTGTGTAAAATATAGGTAATAATATACCAACCATTAAATTGCATTATATTCCAGCTATAATATAAATAATACCTACCTACCTATATATTATGTTAAATTCATCAATTTGGCTATAGAGAAAGCAACAAAAAATTATGAATAAAAAAAATTATTAATATAACTCACTTATTATCCGACATTTCTTTCATCTTAGACATTTCGGAAAATAAGACGTCTGGAGTTTCGGTGCTGCTTCTTGCAAACCCTGAAATGTGAATAACGACCACAGTATTTATTTATTTTTCAATATGGTTTTATTTATTAAAATATTTTATATAGTGTATTTGGCATGCGTCTACGACATAGTTATGATTATTACAAGTTACAACAATGTTTTGTGTTCAATATATTGCATGTAGGTATAACAGTTATACACCGCGCGACAGACGATATTTTGTGACCCCGGGCTTAGACTGAGAAATTGACAGAGAGCGAGAGGGAGTGAGAGAGAGACTGAACGAAAGGAAATATAGGTGGATCGTTGACAAGTTTTTCGGCCGACAAGAAATGAATACTTCTTTAAAAATAAACTCTTTAGGCGTAGTGAGTATGTACACGCTTTTACGCCAGACGGACGGGCACTAAAATATATTTTATATAAAGTAGGTACAAACATTTATTAAATATAGATAGACGGCGGAGATACAGTATTTTATATTTTTATCGTGTACGTAATTTTCTTCCTTAAATGGAGTGTCGCATATACTTATATAATATGTATTATGCGTATAGTTGATATATTGTGTACTGGAGTGCCTGGAGTAAAACTTACTGGGGCAACCGCTGCCTCGTTGGGCGGAGGCCGAGGATTTTGTGGGTGTCGACACCGGCGAGGAACTCGAGTATATTAATTAGTATACTCGGTTGTCGATTATAAGTACAGGTTATGGGTGATTATTAATTATTGTGTCAAAATTGGATCATTGGTAAAATAATTTATTTTCCAAGACGTTGTTCCTTATTTGAAAAGTGACTGCAATCGTGCATCGTAATTCATGGATCCTCGTTCAAACTTCGAAATATATGTGTGGATATAGGGAAGATATTTAAGGAAACATGCTATATCTACAATATTTAACATTAAAAAAAAAAACAATGTGGTCAGGCCTATAATGTATATTTAAATAGATATTTTTAAATTAATATATTTATAATGGGATCATAGGTAAACTGTATAAGTATAATACTAATTATTATACATATTAATAAATTATTATGAGTAAAAAAATTAAAGTTACGAAGTGTGACACAAACACAGGCGGACAACTATAATTTGTATACTCTCAGTCTAAAAATAGATACTCTAATTACTCAGTAATTAGTAGGTACATTTGAATTATATAATATAGGTAGGTACGATGTATCAACTGTTAAATATGAGGCTCGTTGTCTGTCGCACACTTGAATTTATTGGTACCTAACTGCAGTGCATTGCACCGATGACCACGTAGGTATACCTACTAAAATAAATTAATGCAAACTATGTATAATATACGTATTGGAGGGCGTGGTGGATTCTAGAAAGAGCCTATTTGATTTTGTTTTAGTTTGGTAATATAGTAAATGTATTGTATAATATATATATATACAATATACCAACATACTACCATAATATAATATAATTTTTTTTTTTTTTACATAGGTAGTAATAAACAAAAATAATATTTTAAAATTAATAATTGTTGATATAAGATTTTTGTTTTAAATACAACTATTAGCATACCTGCCTATTATAATATAGTTATTATACCTATATCTTATTTAAGCAAGTCAGTTCACAATATCAAAACAGTTTTGATTAATATTGTTCGATACATACTAATTTAACATGCATATGCAACTATACCTACCTATATCTATACATACTAGCAAGACGTAATAGTAATAGATTTTACTAAAGAGTATATTTACAAAAATAAACATGAATAATAAACTAGTAGTTTTTCTTTTTAAAATAAACAGTTGATTTCGAAATATTCAACAGATGAAGATCTATCTACGGATAAAAAAAATCCATAATCGTATTTCGTCATCGGTTATCGTTCAAACGTAAAATGCATTTTACATATTATATAGTATATGCGTCTAAATCCTCATGTAAGGCCTATGAATACAAGAGTGTCAGGATCAAAAAACCACTTTATTTCTCTTTCGCTATCCAAAAATTCAGGTTGAAACTAAGAACCAGTTTCTTAAAATTCGTATAATATATATATTATATTACAAGTTTTCTCCGACCGCATACTTCAAAATACTACCCATGTTTTTAATTTATATAATATAATACAGTTTCCATAATTATTCATTTCTAAGCATATGGTGTTTGTAAATAAAAAAAAAAATCCTAAGGTATGTTAATGATCAGATATATTCCAAGTAGTGTGAGAATCTACTAGTTTAAGTTGTAAGGTCAAATAACGTTCATCCACGTGCTACCTACCTAGATGCTTCTTATAATTCGGCCTAATGTCAAATGTCAATATAGGAGTGATATCAGAATATAAGTATAAAACGCGAGGCGAGCGCACAAACGTATTTTGGTTTGTAATCATTATAATACTTACAATTTTATTTTATTTTTATTCCATATTTTTAAATATACGTATAATGCAACGTAGGCTACAACGCAAACCACAATAGTGTAAATAAAATAGAAAAAGGCTACAAATGTATACTAACCCAATTGGGCAGATAGTATATCTAGATATAGCTGTGTACCTACCTATATCCTAATACAGTGGTACCTACCAGTACCTATATTGCATTAATTAGTTTTATTAAATAAATACTTACCTACTCTATTATGAATATAATTCACTATTATATTCTTGGAAATAGTTGTATAAAAATTTATTTTAGACTAGTATAATATAATATTTAGTGTTAAACAAATAGGCAATAGCAAAGATTTAAGTACTATAATAATATAAGTATACGATTATTTGTGATCGTAGATATCTTTATTGAAACATAATACTTCGCGTTTTCTTCCTGTAAATTATATCAGCTGGATTTACTCTAGTATCTATTTACTTCACTTAAATTTTGAAAAAACCATAGCCCCTTTTAATTTAAATTTTTCACCTCACAATAACTACTCAATTTCTCAAAATTATAGAAATATTAATCTTTGAAAACTCAACTTACATTTATGATTAGAACTTTATAATTTTTACTAAAAAATCGTACTTCTTAGCATCGATATTCTAGTAAAATTATAAGGATCGTTTAGCAGGTAAAAAACAATACAAGTACGTAACTAGTTCATAATATAATTGTCATTATATTCATACAAATACGGGTATAAAAAACGATTAAGTATGAAACTTAACTTACTAATAATAATTAATTTGTATTCAATGGATTTATTTTAGTTATTTCAAGTAATATCATCAATATCTAATATTAATATAACATGAATGCTATTATTTATTTTGTGACATCCTACCCACGAATTTCAAAATAAATTATTGATAAAGTGAAATAAATATACTATTCATATTGACAATAAAACTGCCTATGAAATATTATCGGTTTAACTATGATGTACAATGCAAATTTTACTTTATGTACTTTTACCTCGACTATATATCAAAACTGATTCTTTTAAATTTTTATTCTGTGGCCCTATGTCCTATTATTATACATATAATATTATTTTTATTAAAATGTATATTTTATTCATTAGAACTCAACAAGTAAATATATAAATAATTGAATACACTTAAAAAGAATCATCTTTGAATAATAAACATAGAAAAGATATTTTCAATTGCAAACGAAACAAAAAATACGAATGCATTAATAAAATATTATTTAAAATTATAAGCACATAGTTAAGTTACCTAAGTTAATTAAACTTGAATCATACACCAAGGCATTAAAATTATTGTATTTTAGTAGTACGTAGTACCTATAAATATAAGTGATAATGATGACACGATATTGTAATCCTAAATAATTTCGTATAAGGTATATCTACTGCAAGGTATGCAACCATAATAGGTACCTATACCAATGTTTTATTTATGTTTTAAGATTCTATAATCGTAAAATTGTTTTCTAATTTTTTATCAGCAGATAACAAAGTTATGAACTGAATAATATTAAAACTGAGAATAAATCAGACATAAAAAAGACTTTTATTTAAATGTATATGTTACGGGTAAGGTCCAAACACGGTTAATGTACCTACATATTACCCGGATAATGAAAACCTTATACATGTGAACAGTGTAAGGTGTTCGTAGATAATGTGTAAAATACCCGAGTAATGTACGAAATAAAGGTTTTATAAATAGTATTTTTACTTTATCCAATAAGTACAGGTAGTGTTCACATTACCCGGGTTATGTGAACACTAACCGTATTTTGTACTTTACCCGTAACATATATAACACAATTAAAACACAATTCAAACACAATTGATAAACATTTGTCATCAGATCATCACATACCACCAGCATTTGGCAGCTAATGGTATTATCAAACGAACGTAAGCGGATAAATATTTAATTACTTAATGAATTTTACGATAATGACAGATAATACATAATTGTATTTTTCAAAAACTATATATTATTGTCATTTTATATTATAAGCTACCTACTTTATCTCTGTGTTGAACACATCAACACAAAGCTTATTTACATTTTTAACTTGTCAAACAATAAAACTATAGAAATACATTTATCTACATTTTGATTCCGTTCAAATAATATTTTACATAAAAATTATCGTAAAACTGGTTAATTATAGAGTTTTGAGGGGAATCGGATAACTTGTTCTTCTTATTTTTGATTGTAATAGAAAATGAATTACCTATTACACGTTAACAGTTTTATTTTTTCATGGTATATAATTACCGTAGACCATTATATACAATTTATATTCCACGAGATATCGCTTTACCTACAACTGCTTTATCATAAATTGATAACGCCAAAACTGTTATCAATATTTTCACCGTTTGCTTAATTCGAAAAAATTGTGTGTTCGGCATTTTAAACGTCGTAATAAACTTAAATTTCATTTTACCATCATAATATAAGATATCAATAGCGTAATAATACAAATTTTGTTTTTGTAGTTGCAATATAATTTTTCTAAGCAATTAAAAAACAAGACTACCTAGGTATGTTTTCAGTTTAATGGGTCA